GGCCTGGGCGCTGTCCCTCAGCTCTTCAGCTCAAGGCTAACACTCTACCACTTGAGCCACAGCGCCACTTCTGGCTTTTTTCTTTTTGCTTATATGGTGCTGAGGAATCGAACCCAGGGCCTCATGCATGCAAGGCAAGCGCTCTACCACTGAGCCACCTTCCCAGCCCCGAAAAGTTGATTCTTATACCTTACTTCAGACCCACCACATCAGAACCTCCAAATGTATAGAAAATTCCTGGCTTAACAAGCTACTCAAGCAGTCCTCATGTTTGCTTAAATTAGAGAAATAATTGCTTTAGGTAACATCTTACGTAATCTTGTTTTGGAACAAAGATGCAATAAACCATAATTTGATAAGAATATATGCTTTATGAGGTTCTATAAAAACCAATGACATTCTTAAGCTACCATAAACAAAATCTTAAACATTTATTGTTTAAGCTCCTGAAATGTATCATTTATATATTTTATCCAGATGAGTAGTTGAGCACACACTGTTCACATTATTTGAAGTCCTCTTTCCAAAAATTACTTATTTACTTTCCTTATAATCATATATTTGGAGATAGTTGGCCAAACAAGTGAAATGAATAACTTTCATTTGTTTGCTTAACTAATAGTGAATTTTAAACATTACAAATTGGTCATGGTAGGAAAACTTGAAATGATTCAGTATCTAAAATTTAAAAGTTCCAGATTTTCCTGCATGATCTTAGAGTAAATGAATTAATATTGATTCTCATTTCTTGCTGTTTTCTCTAATACAGATCCCTCCTACTGTTCTACAGAGGGGTGGGTGTAGAATAGTAGAAAGCAAAGACGTCAAAAATTTTTTATGGTAACTTCAAAATAGGTCCAAGATGCTCTCACTGTTACTTTAGGTGTGTTATAGTTGCTTATGAGTATGGATACTTGTTTACCACAATGTCTTCCTCTTTTAGCTTTTGGTCCGCGCAGGAGCCAAACTAGACATTCAGGATAAGGATGGAGATACTCCTTTGCATGAAGCTCTGAGGCACCACACTTTGTCTCAACTCCGTCAGCTGCAAGATATGCAAGATGTGGGGAAGGTAGATGCTGCCTGGGAACCATCAAAAAACACAGTGAGTGAAGATAACTTTTCCTCTGTACTGGAGAAGTGTCTTTTAATGCAAGATGTTATATTGGCTGTTTATGCAATCTGTCTTGGATAAACTAGTTGACTAGTTCACCAGGACTATATACTTAGAACTTTAGTCCATAAATGAAATTCTACATTCTTACTGAAAGTTACTTTGTTTTTTTTTGACTCAGCCATTTACATCAATGTGGAGTGATATTTTGTGGTTTTAATTTGTGTTTCCCAAATGACTAATTATATTGATCTTCTCATTTCCTTATCACCACAAATACCTATTCAAATATTTTTCATTATTCTTTTGAGCTGCTTTTGATTTTATTTTTGAACCTTTAGTGGTTGAACTCAAGGCTCATGCATGCTAGGCAAGTGCTCTGCCACTGAGTGTTTTCTTCTCATTGTTTCAAGAGTTCCTTATATAATTTGAATACAAATTTATATGAGATATAAGGATATGAGATATGAGGTATTCACATATTTTCCCCCTATCCATAGCTTATTACTTAAATAACCATCTGTGTAACCTTTTGGAAAATTCCAAGTCACTCGAGGAGGGTTTATTATAATTGACAAAAATGCTGTGCTGTTTTTTTGACATCAAATTGATAGCTTAGTGATGGAGACCAATGGGAGAAGGTGTGCTTTTGGGGAAAATAAATAAAATTGAGTACTGTCAAAATAGACTATTTGCAAAACATAGAACAAGGAAAGGTGACTATTTGAAAGTATGCAAACAGAACAAAGAACCTTGTTGGGGATGCCATTTTTTAGAGGGAAGGGTACAGGAAGGGTGTAATAAAGGCGGTAAAATTGATTGGAATACAGTATGAATGTGTGGAAATGTAACCAATCTCCATCTCCCATGTAACTGATGTAAGCCAATAAAAAATGTTAGCTTAGTCAACAGTGTTGAAAAGTGCTTTTCAAAAATTATGTATGTTCTGTTTTCACGTTCTGTTTTCAGGCCCAAGTGCAAATGCATCAGCTAAGTAGAGTAGGTGACTGCTTCTAATGAAGCCATAGTTACTCTTGAAAAGAAGGCACTCTATTTTCACCTTCTCAACAAACGTGGACTCTGTTATTAGAAAACTTCATTTAGTCCACAGTATCCTCAATATGCTTAACTGGATCTAAATAGTTCTGGAGATCCAAAGTCAAGAGCTACCTCTGGTGATGTTTTTGTAGGCAGAGTCCTGGAATGGTATGGCAAGAGATGAAAAATGCTTACGTGTGTCTCATCTTTTTCTTTCTTTTTTTTTTTAAATTTTTATTTATTTTTTATTGTGAAAATACTTTACAGAGGGGTTACAATTACATGGGCAAGATAATGAGTACATTTCTTATCGAGCATTGTAGCCTCCTCCTTTGTTTCCCCTTCCCATCCCTTCCCATCCTCCCCCACCCCCCTCTTTCTTTTCTTTTTAAACTAGTTTTTGTTTTATTTTTTTGAGATAGGGTCTTGCTATATTATCCAGGCTGACCTCAACTTTTTAATCTTCTTTGCTTCAGCCTTCTCATAATTTGAGATTTTAGGCATAACCAGTGTATATATGTTACTGTGCCAGGTTTTTAACAGTGTTCTTGAAAGAACACTGATTTTTTTTAAAAAATTGATGAAATGTATATTTTTTATGAAATATATTTTTAATAATATGTTTCTTTTATTGCATTTGCCCAACTTGGAGTCCCTAAAGTTCTCTTTTCTTTTGTACTGGAAGTTTATAAAGTTTTTGCCATTACATTTAGATCTGTTGTTAATTTTAGATTTTTAATTTTGCAATACTGGAATTTGAACTCCCAGACTGTCATTGATCATTGATCTTGCCGATGTCTGCCTCCCATAGCTTGGGTTACAGATGTACACCTGTCTTGCGTTTTGTTCTTTTGGCCTTTGTTTTTAGGTGTACATTTCCAGCCTTAACTGTCTTGATTATTCTAGTGTGAATAATAAATATTGAAGGCAAGTATTGTTAAGTCCTTCACATTTCTATATGAATTTTAGAGTTACTTTGCAGGGCCTTACAAGACTGAGACCATGCTATCTTATTGTGTGACTGTAGGTACATTCTCTAAATTCTTTGTGCCTCCTTATTTTAAAATTGAAGGAAGAGGGCCGGGAAGATGGCTCAGTGGTAGAGCGCTTGCTTTGCTTGCATGAGACCCTGGGTTTGATTCCTCAGCACCACATAAGCAGAAAAAGCCGGAAGTGGTGCTGTGGCTCAATGATAGAGCACTAGCCTTGAGCTGAAGACTGAGGGACAGCGCCCAGGCCCAGAGTTCAAGCCCCACCATCGACAAAAAAAAAAAAAATTACCTACATAAGATTTTTGTAAAAAGTGATCTGTAATAGTTACACAATAAATCTGAACAGTATCATGGTTGCTTTCAAATATGTTTTAGTCAGTACCTCTTGTTAATATAATCAGAGAACCTGATTAGTCTTGTTTTCCTTGTTTGTTTGTTTATTTCATAAATACTGGTTCTTTCCTCATTTGATTTTTTTCCCTCATTGTATCAAGTTGGTTGCTAGCAACTTCAGAGCCTATAGAATAGAAAAGAAGCTACCATTTCTTCAGTGTCTTAACAGATGTCTCCTTGAGGTTTTTTTTTTGGTGAAAATACCGTACAGAGGGGTTACAGTTAACATGGGCAAGGTAATGAGTACATTTCTTATCAAGCATTGCTGTTTTCTCCTTTGTTTCCCCTTCCTATCCCTTCCCATTCTTCCTCCTCCCCCCCCCCCCCGTCCCCTCCTCCCCTGCTTCCTGATCTTGAATTTTATTAGCCTTAATTGACCTGACTTGGGTTATGTGTTTATACCTGAATTGGTCATATAAATGAGGTCAATAAGCTGACTGGACTGAGCCACCTTTCATCTAACTCTACAACTGGAGAATGAGTCAATTCTCATTATATGCCTGAGAACAGAAAGAGGAGTAGATTTTTGGACTGAAATGCTTAAATGTCTATCATACTTGGGTGTATGTTCACACATATACACAGGTAGTAAAAGGGGATTGATTGCAGATCTTAAGGAGAAAATCATGATTCTTTCTGTTTGATTTCAGTTAATAATGGGACTTGGTACTCAGGGGGCAGAGAAGAAGAGTGCAGCATCGATTGCCTGTTTCTTGGCAGCCAATGGTGCTGACCTTAGCATTCGAAATAAGAAGGGTCAATCACCCCTTGATCTCTGTCCTGATCCAAGTCTCTGCAAAGCACTGGCAAAATGTCATAAAGAAAAAGTCAGGTTGGTATTCTTTAATTATCTTAAACTTAATGTTGTATACATAAAGTATTATGTGGTTTCATTATGAAAGACTTGACTGTCAAAATTAATTTACAGTTGAAATTCCTGTGTCTTTGTGTTGCTTCTTTCTTCGAGAATTTCCCTCCAGGCAGTGTGTCTCTTCTTTCATGTTATACTTCCCACATTATTAAGTTTACTGTTTTGTGTATAATAAATTCAAGAAAATTTTCTAGTGTGGTTATCTGGGCATCTTGTACATTACAAGAGTTAATAAGAAAAAAATCTTACAACTTTACTAGTAAAATTGTTGTGATTAATGTTCTATGTATTAAGTTTTCAATATCTTCCTACATATCAACAGGGTATATCTCATGCAAATTGCAATAGTTCTAGCATCCTGCATTGGGTGGCTGAGAGCACTCAATAAGTATCAATGAAGGACTGAAAAAATAAGCAGATGAAGTAATAATTCCCTATGGAGTTTTCCTAAATACAGTCATTTCACATTTGTCTTTGTATTTTCTGAAAATAAAATAGGTCAACAAGAGATATTGTGTAGACAAACAAAAAGGCACATATCTCTACCTTTTTTACCTGGACAATGCCACGCTGTTACTGTTCTTCATAAATTTTTCTTAGTACTGAACATCTCAGTAGCTGTCCCTTGTAGAACTTTGTTCTATAGATAGAGCAGGTTCTGAGATAAACTTTGTTTGTACTAAATTATTTTTACTATGAATTTTATTTGTTTGTCAGGTAATTCACTCTTTTCCATGGAGCAGGGATTCATCCAGTTTGAGGATTGAATCGTACTACATGCATGTAAAGATGCAGAGATGTAGCTAAACATCAAAACACTATTTACAGAATTTCACATAAATATTAACACTTGTATACTAATGCTTTAAACACATGTTAATGAAATTTTATGGAAATATTTGGGTGGGCTGATTTGAAATACTCTCTTTTATTAGTGGTCAAGTGGGTTCTCGGAGTCCTTCTATGATTAGTAATGATTCTGAAACCTTAGAAGAGTGTATGGTATGCTCAGATATGAAGAGAGATACTCTTTTTGGACCATGCGGACATATTGCAACCTGCTCTTTATGTTCTCCACGTGTCAAGAAATGCCTCATCTGTAAAGAGCAAGTTCAGTCTAGGACAAAGGTAATAAGTTGCAATGTATTTTATATGTTTCCTTTAGTGGTCATGATGTTTAAAATCAAGTCCTTGTGCTTGCTGTGGAGAGACTCTCTGCATGCTTGAGCCAGATCCACAGCCTCTTTTGCTCTATTTTTGAGATAGGGTCTCTCACTTATGCTCTGGCTGGCCTAAACTAAATGAATTTATTCAAGTTCATTGTTGTCTAAATTTAACTATATACTGTTTTTGACTCAAGATTTTGGAACTCCTCTTTTTCCTTATTTTTATACCTATAATAGTTAAAAATAAAAGTTACCAGCTGGGCACCAGTGGTTCATACGAGTAATCCTAGCTTGTCAAGAGGCTGAGATTTTGTTTGAAACTAGCCTATGCAGGAAAGTCTGTGAGACTCTCATCTCCAGTAAACTACTAACAAGCCAGAAGTAGAGCTGTGACTTCAGTGGAAGAATGCTAGTTTTGAGCAAGAGAAGTTCAGCAGTGGCACCCAGGTCTTATAGTCAAGCCCTAGGACTGGCACAAAAATTTAATTAATTTAAAAAAGTTATTAGTTTTCTTTCACATCTTTCTATAACCTAAAAATATATTTAATTCTAGTTTGCATTATATACTATGAAATTTTCAATCCTCTAGGGAAGTAGAAAAACTCATGTCAGGATCCAGCAGTTGAGCTGGTTGGTTGTAGATCCTTTGACTATAAAGAAATAGTGACACCAAGTGGTTAAAGGATAGCAAGCATCTTGATAAAAATTATAAAATTAGTGTTTAGGGGAAGTGAGAATAAATGAGAATTTGTTCTTAGAAGAATCTTGTGGATTATTTAGCAGTTAGAGAAATACAAATAAATTACAGACTAATGTAAACCATTTCTGTTGAATTATCAATGCAAGTTCTTAAAAAGTGCTAAGAAAGTGCAAAATGTTCACCAGATACTCTAAAGAAAAGAGTTTTCTTTTTAGTAAGAGAATAGATTGTTAGATTAACTTGCTATATTAATCTAATTAATTGCTAGATCAATTAGTCATAATTAATTAGTAGATTAATTGAATCTTTAGGTTAAATTGTTATATTACTTTAACATTTCAAAAATATTGCTAGAAGCCAAGTACCAGTGCCTCATGATTATAATCCTACCCACTCAGAAGGCTGAGAGCTGAGAATCTTGATTTGAAGTTAGCCCGGGCAGACAAATCCCTGAGACTTTTTTCCAGTTCTTTTGGCAAAAAGCTGGAAATGGAGGTAGCACAAGTGGTAGAGTGCCCTCTGTGAAGCAGAACAAAAGCTAAATGAGAGCAAGAGGCCCTGATTTCAAGTTTCAGTACTGGCACAAAGGAAAAAACAAAACCAAAAACAATGTTAGGTAATTTATTAGTGTTGAAGGCAGATTTTGAGTCTAGTAATAGCAGAATCTTGACCAGCTATGTTGTATGTGTGTGTGTGTCCTACTGTTATTCCAGTTATGTCAGTTTTATGTACAGACTGTTATATAAATAGAAAAGGTCTAGAGAGAGTCAACAGGCACAGGAGTTAGCAAGCATGCAGTGTTCAGTTGTTCAGGGGATGCTGTAGATGGTTAGCATTTTTGGATAGTGATAGTAAATGACACAGAGATGGCTAAATGTGACTGTGTGTTTGGAGGGTGAACAGGTGAAAAATGAAGTTTGAAGCCAGGGCTATGGAGTGTCACAAGGAAGGCAGAGCCAGGGGCTGTTAATAATTCCACAGCCCAAACTCAGACTTAGGGGAGATGAAGAGAGAAAATTGAGGAAAATTATGAACATCTAGGAGACTTGTGGGATTAGAGATCAGGAAGAAGGAATAGCCCCAAATTTTTGTCTGGTGTGGGTATTGACTTAGTCCTAGGAAAAGAAGCTTTTAGGATATAGGTACAGAAAAATCCCTTCTAGACTTTTAACTATCTGACTCATCCAGCTAGATTTTTTTTGGGGGGGGGGCGGGGGTGGGGGTCTGGTTGTGGGACTTGAATTCTGGGCCTGGGCGCTGTCCCTCAGCTCTTCAGCTCAAGGCTAGCACTCTACTACTTGAGCCACAGCGCCACTTCTGGCTTTTTTTTTTCTGCTTATGTGGTGCTGAGGAATCAAACCCAGGGCTTCAAGCATGCAAGGCAAGTGCTCTACCACTGAGCCATCTTCCCAGCCCATCCAGCAAGATTTTTATACTATTAGAAATGTTACTAAGTACCTGTGGCTCATGCCTGTTATCCTAGTTTCTTTGGAGGTTGAGCCCTGGCAGATCATGGGTTGGAACTAGTTTGAGCAGAAAGGTCTATGAAACTCCATCTCTAATTAGCAAAAAGCTGAGCTGGAAGTGTGGCTTAGGAGGTTTAACAAGCTGAGCAAGCAAAGCCAAGTAAGTACAAGATCCTGAGTTCAAACCTCAGTACTGTCAAAAAAAAAAGGAATCTTCTTTCTTAATCATTTGTTCATTGTCTTTTAATTCTCATTCTCTCTCTAACAGTACAAGGTGTTTTTTTTTTTTTTGGTCGGTCCTGGGGCTTGAACTCTGGGCTTGGGGCACTGTCCCTGCGCTCTTCAGCTCAGGGTGAGCGCTCTGCCTCTTGAGCCATAGCGCCACTTTCGGTTTTCTGGTGGTTTATTGGAGATAAGAGTCTCACAGGCTTTTCTGCCCCAGCTGGCTTTGAACCGTGATCCTCAGATCTCAGCCTCCTGAGTATCTTGGATCACAGGCATGAGCCACTGAAGCCTGGCTCAGTACAAGGTTTTTAACTCAGTGCCTTGCACTTACTAAGCTGGCACTTTACCACTAGAGCCACATCCAGTCCTTTAGTTCTCTTTCAAAAAGGTAGTTTATGAAAATAAAATTGAAGTCTAGTCCCATCTTGCTGAGCTCAGAAGGCATGGAATTTTTCTGAATGAGTCTTTAGGACAGGCAGGAAAACTTAATGCAGAAATAATGCCTACTAAGTTACGGTCCATAAAGTTGAGATGAAAGTAAAGGACAGAGGGGAATGTATAGTAATTCTCTGTGCTTGAGGTTTCCCTTATAGATGAAACACATTTGATAGATACAAAAAGAACTGGATTCAAAATACTTATCTATAGTTGTTCACCTTGCCTTCTCTTTCTGTAGATTGAAGAATGTGTGGTATGCTCTGACAAGAAAGCTGCTGTTCTTTTTCAGCCTTGTGGACACATGTGTGCTTGTGAGAGTAAGTATGACCATATGACACTTCTTCAGCATTATTAAACAAAAATGCTTAGAGGTTTGTTTTGTTTTGGGATAGCCCACAGAAAAATGGTTGAGTCTCCTATCATCCATCTCTGTGCTTCTATCAGAAGGTTGACTATTAGTAGCCTTCCTCCTCCTGAGCACAGAGTAGACTGAACAATACGCTTTCTTCTACTGGTTTAGGTTTGTTTCAGTTCTATTAGCACAAAGTATTCTCTTTTCACATATTCTAGAACCTTATTTCTATAAGGGGAGTCTAGCTCCCCTTTTCCATAAAATTGGTACATCTTCATTTTTCCTTCCTTTAACGTTGTCTCTTAGCCATATTGTCCCACTCCTGAGGGACTCACAGCAGCCATTCAGGGCTACAGTGTCAGCTTTTCTCTTAACTGTTTTGCTGAGAGAACTTAATTCTTTGCTTTGTGAGGCCAACATTGGAATTTAAGAGATGCTTTAAATTCTAAATATATTTTCCTGGAGACTTCTGCTTTTTTCTATCTCCCCTGTTCATTTAAACTGCTTACATCGTTCAATGTTCTTTTCTTTTTGCACTTTTTTCATTTTACCAATGAAAACTCTTAAACAACTTTAAGTTTTTTTTTTTACTATTCTAAAATAGGTCAGTAACAGGTATTGATTTTTTATTAGATTACATTATACAGAGGAGGTATTGATTTTTCATATACTATCTCACTAGAATAATATACTAATAGTATGATAGTCTAATCTCATTGGCATAGATTTCTTTAAACCTTAGTGAGTTTCTTTCCACATTCTAGTAAGCAACTGGTCAAGTAAAGAAAAGATCAGGGTGTTCTTTTTTTTTATACTTTTAAATTTTATTTAATTGTAAAGATGTTATACAGAGGGATTACATCTGTTATGAGTAAGGTTATGTGTAAATTTCTTGTTGAACATTGTTACTGTTACCCCTTCCTTTAATTTCATTACCATTGTGACAACCTGAAACTGGGATTTTCCTGTTTCCCCTACTGCTTTCAATTCTTCTTTTTTTTAAATTGTGAAAATACTGTACAGAGGCTTACAATTACATGGGCAAGCTAATGAATACATTTCTTATCAAGCATTGTAGCCTCCTCCTTTGTTTCCCCTTCCCATGCCTTCCATTCTTCTCCCCGCCCCCCAACCCAGTCCTCCTTTCCCCCACAACCAACGTTGTAAGGTTCATTTTCTGTTGTAACAATCTACCTCATGAAGCTGTTTTTGTTCACTCAAGGCTGCTATAATGAGTATCATCAACTGTCAAAATGGCACATAAAAGAAAAATCCTCTGTCTTGAGCCAGACACAGTGGCTCAAGCCTACAATCCTAGCTACTTAAGAAGCAGTCATTGGGTATTCTCATTTGGAGGCCAGCTTAGGCATAACATGTTCAAAAGATTCTACCTTAACTAAAGACTGAGCATGATGGTGCAGAAACATTTGTCTCCTGGCTACATGGAAATGCATAAAACAAAAAATAATATATAAAGGACTACCAGAGTATTTCAAATGATAGAGTACCTCCTTAGCAAGCACAAGGCCCTGAGTTCAAACTCCAGTATCCAAAACAAACAAATGAAAAGAAAGGTTCTCTTCTCGATTAAAAAGGACCCCGGTTAATTAAATTTTCGTAGACTAGATGTCAGCAGGCTTTTCCAGTAAAGAATCAATAATAACTACTTAGCTATTTCCAACTTCTCAACTGTGCCATTGTAGAACAAAAATAGTCATGAAAAATTTGTAACCATGTTTCAATGAACTTTATTTGTGAAAACAGACAGCCAGTAAGATTTGACCTTCAAACTGTAATTTGCTGGCCCTTACTATGAACCAAAGTAATGCCTGCCTGAGAAGTTGAAGATGATTGTAATTATTAATTGATAACAATATATTATTTTCCCAGGGGATCTCCTAAAGTTTTTACGTATAATTTGCTAAAAAAAACCCAGCAAACTGGTTTTGAGCTGTATTGAGCTTTTTAACTTGATAGTAGACATTTTAACCTATTTAAAATATCTTCTTATTGATCTTCAGAACAATCCGAAGAAGTAGATGGTTTCTCCTTTTTGTTTTTGGGTTTTTTTTTGGCCAGTACTCCCTTTTTTTTAGGACCTCATGTTTGCTCAGTTTGCTTGCTTAGCTAGTTCTATATCACTTGAGTCATGATTCTAGTCTTGCTTTTTGCTGGTTACTTTGGAGATTGAGTCTTGTGGATTTTTTGCCCTGTCTTCAAACCCTGATTTTCCAGATCTCAGCCTTGTGAGTAGCTAAGATTAAGTGAGTCACTAGCACTTGGATAAACACATTCTTAAATATTTATCTGCTGAAGAAGATGAAGTGGAGGTGGAAAACATTCTGTCCTAGAGTATACATTCCAAGACCCACATTGCAGTATTGTTAAGCTGAGTATTGGAGCCTTAAAGAGTGTAAAGTACCATTGTCAAGTCAAAAGAAGGAGAGATTATATCCTTTTTGAGTGACTGAAAGGAAATTTTTTAGAAACAGTTCTGAACAGTTAATAGGAAATTTAGATAATTCATTGTTGTTGTTGTTGGGATTGAATTAATCCTAAAAATTTAAGATGAAAATCTTTATCAAGCTAGATTTCTGATAATGTTATTTCGTATAACTAAGCATGAAATACATTATGTTCAGTCTTAGGGATCAGCCTTGATAACAATTCTGCAACTAAAATGTAGCTGTTAGGAGTTTGTGCCCCAACTTGTCTACATCATTGATAGTGTTTTGTTTTCACCGAGTGTTGGTGGCTCACACCTGTAATCCTAACTACTCCAGGAGGCTGAGATCTGAGGATCGTGGTTCAAAGCCAGCCTTGGCAGGAAAGTCTGAGAAACTCTTATCTCCAGTAAACCACCAGAATACCAGAAGTGGCACTGAAGCTTAAGCCATAGAGTGCTCGCCTTGAGCTGGAGAGCTGAGGGACAGCGCTCAGGCCCAGAGTTCAAGCCCCACGACGGAAGGAAAAAAAAAAGTTTAATGTTTTCAGTGGGAGAGAATGATGGAAGCGGGAATTGATCAAGATGCATTGTACTAATGTAACTCGGGGAATTGAAACCCATTTCTATAACTGCTTAGTAAATAATACATGGAATGTTTTCTAGTAAATTATCCCTAGTAGCCAGCATGGTTAACATTTTTATCTCCTTTTTTTTTTGTTGTTGGTCATGGGGCTTGAACTCTGGGCTTGGGCACTGCCCCTGTGCTCTTTTTTTTTTTTTTAATTTTTTTTTTTTTTGTGAACATACTGTACAGAGGGGTTACAATTACATGGGCAGGATAATGCATACATTTCTCATCAAGCATTGCAGCCTCCTCCTTTGTTTACCTTTCACATCCCTTCCCAGCCTCCACTCCCCCCCCCCCGCACCAATGTTGTATAGCTCGTTTTTGACATGACAACTTGTACTTCTCATTGTTGCAACAGGTCCACCTGTATCCTTAAACGACTTGTTTTTCCCCATCTCCCCCACAAGTTATACTGACATCAAATATAGTGAAAGCAGGGGTTATACTGTGGGGGAGGGACATACAAAGCAACAAAGAAATAATCTTATTAATGTGTTAGAAACAAATGCATGAAAGAAAAAAACATTAAAATATATATCTAAAGGTTCATTTTCCTAACATCACATTATCTGACCTTTTCCGCTTGACCCATACATATACTAGATATTGCAAATAAGGGAAACCATGTCCCTGTGTTCTTTAGCTCAAGGAGTATGCTCTACCACTTGAGCCACAGTGCCACTTCCAGTTTTCTAGTGGTTTATTGGAGATAAGAGTCTCACTGAGGGAAGGGGAAACAAAGGAGGAGGCAACAATGCTTGATAAGAAATATACTCATTATCTTGCCCATGTAATTGTAACCCCTCTGTACAGTATTTTCACAATAAAAAAATTAAAAAAATAAAATAAAAAATAAAAAAAAGAGTCTCACCAACTTTACTGCTGGGGCTGGTTTGATCTGTGATCCTCAGATCTCAGCCTCTTGAGTAGCTAGGATTACAGGTGTGAGCCACTAGCGCCCGGCTATTTTTACCTACTTTTTAAATGACAAACAAAGTAAAAGACTGGGCATATAGGCTAAGTTGTGGACTATACTTTCATAATTCAGATGCTGATGACAAAAATATGTTGATGGTATTACTGTGTGCCATTTTATAACTAATTAGTTCAGATACAAAGTAGTATTTACAATCCATAACACATATTTGTACTTATTTCCTTTTGGAATGAGAATGCTTTCTACTGAAATAGGGCTTCTAGCCTTCTCCAATTGATTTAGAAAGATACTGTTACGAAAAAACGTAGTTATATTTTCCTGAAGTGCTATATTTAAAAAGTAATCATTAAACAATTTCTTTTTATATTCTATCAATTTGGTAGAAAAAGGGAGAAGGAAAAAAGGAAAAAGACTTGAGGAATTATAGAGATATGCCATTTACTATAGAAAACATTGTTAGAAAGTTATTCATGCAACCTTATAATTCTGGTATTGAAATTTGTAAAACTTTCTCCTCATTGTTTTCAGATCTTAAGATTTGAGATTACTGATTCTTGATAGCATTTCAGTGAGGTAGAATTTTATTTTGGTTTAACTTGCTTAATTAATGCTTGTATAATGTTTAATGTGAAGTTAAGTTGTAGACATTAGTAGAGAAAGGCAAAATTTAATTTCTGTTGTGGCATGTAAGAGATATGTGTGTATAACCTTTTCAGACTGTGCTAGCCTAATGAAAAAGTGTGTGCAGTGTCGCGCAGTGGTTGAACGAAGAGTGCCTTTCATTATGTGCTGTGGAGGGAAAAGCTCAGAAGATGCCACTGATGATATCTGTAAGTGGATTTTCCTAAGCATTCCTATATTTGCTAGGACTTGCTATATTTGTTAGGACTTGTGCAAATATATCTCTCCTTCTGTTGTCTTGTAAAACATAAACTATGTGACTCAGATCAACAAAGGAATATGTATTGTTTTTCTGGTGCTTTTGTTACAATTATAAGAAACCTAATGCTATGTTTTTCTAGTTTGTTGGAACCTGTATGTATAGTATAAAGTATATTGTGTTCTTTTTCAGTACTGGGGCTTGAACTCAGGGCCTTATGCTTGTAGGCAAACACTTTCTATCACTTCAGCCACATCCCAGCCCTTTTAATTTTTGTTTGTTTGTTTTGCTTTGTTTTCCAGTCCTGAGGCTTAAACTCTGGTCCTAGGCGCTGTCCCTGTTCCCTGTGCTCTTCAAGGCTAGCACTTTACCATTTGAGCCACAGTGCCATTTCCAGCTTTTTCTGTGATTCAATTAGAGATAAGAGTCTTACAGACTTTCCTGCCTAGGCTGGCATCAAACTGTGATCCTCAAATCTCAGCCTCCTGAGTAACTAGGATTACAGGTGTGTGCCACCAGCACCCAGCTACTTTAGTTATTTTTCAGATAGTCCAGCCAGTTACCAAATAGATGGGATGGAGTATGGAATTACAGGTGTGTACCACTATGTGTAGCCCAAGAACATTATATTTCTATGTAAAGAATATTTGCAATTTTTTCCTTTTTATAGTACTGGTGTTTTGAATTCAGGGTCTCACATTTGTCAGCCAGGCATTTTACCACTGTGCCATGATTTCCAGTCTGAAGGATCTTTTTTGGTTTTCTTTTGTGGTTCTAGGTTTGATGAATGCTAAGCACACACTCTACCACTAAGCTATACCCAGTTCTACTTAGCGTATCTTAAGGGTGTATTATATTCCAGATTGTTTTTTTCAGTTTACAGACAAATTAACCTGATTGCTTTTATGTATCAGGTTTATAAACTTAAATAGCTTATGTCTTGTGGAAAATTATCTGTGACAGTGTAACTATAGGTAGACTGAACTGAAATATAGCAAACAAATAGAAAGATAAAATAATTTACCTTGAAACTTTCCTTATTGTTGTTTGTTTGTTTGTTTTTGCCCTTTTTTCTTACAATGCTGGGCATTCAGGGCCTAGCTCAGCTAGCAAGTTCTGTACTATTGGGCTACATCCCATTCTCTATTGTCAACCTTTTTTTTGGGGGGGGGGGATCCAGTCGTGGGGCCTGAACTCTGGGCCTGGGCACTGTCCCTTAGCTCTTCAGCTCCAGGCTAATGCGCTACCACTTAAGCCACAGCACCACTTCCGGCTTTTTTTTTTTTTTCTGCTTATGTGGTGCTGAGGAATCAAACCCAGGGCCTCATGCATGCAAGGCAAACACTCTACCACTGAACCACCTTCCCAGCCCCTGTCAACCTTTTTAATAATACAGCTCTTTAAAAGGATTATTGTCTTTGGACAGTTTCTTAGGTTTCTCTGTTCCATAAACCTATTTTTTTCTAACACTTTTGCTCCAGAGCTCTTGTATTTTTCACATTTAACATATACAAATAGGGACAGACTAACTGGAATTTAAAAGACTAATAATGTAGAGAGTAAGAAACATAAAATCAAAGATTTTCCCATTTTTGCAGACTGCTGATCATGGGCTTTTCTTGAGTTCCTCATCTTAGATCAGTAACAAAAAAATGTGAGCATGAACAAAGGAGGTTAGATTTTGTATGTTTTCATGAAAATGGCCTAAAAAAATTCAGTTCGTGCTGCCAGGGACTGGGAGCCTGGTCCAAGTGATCAAGTTCTTGCCTAGTAAAAATGAGGCCCTCAGTTCAAGCCCCAGCATCACCAAATGCTTTGTGCAAGTTACTTTTCCATGTTTCTTATGGTATATGATAAGAGAAAATGTGTTTGAGGAAATAGGTAGAATTTGGAAAACTCACAGTTTTATAAATACAATTCCTACTAATGTGCAACTCTCTTTTTCTCTGAAGATTATAAATGAAAGGGTATAACATGAATTATTATTGTGTTTATTGTCCTGGTATGAAAAAGAATTATTAAGAAGGACTCTAATAGAGCCTTGGGTTTTTTTTTGGGGGGGGGTGTGGGGTGTCTGTTGTGGGGTTTGAACTCAGGGCCTGGATGGTGTTTCTGAGCTCTTTTGCTCAAGGGTGTTCTTCCACTTTGAGCCACAATCCCACTTCTGGTTTTTGAGTGGTTAATTGGAGTCTCGTGGGGACTTTTCTGCTTGGCCGAGCTTCAAACCATGATCCTCAGATCTCTCAGCCTCCTGCTAGACTAGTATTACAGGTGTGAGACACTGTAGTGTGCTTGGCAAATCTTGTTTTTTAATAAACAAAATAGTTTTAGCAATAAAAAGTAAATATATTAGTAATAATCAAAAACATTTATCTGTATTACAGCAAGTGGGAATATTCCAGTGTTGCAAAAGGACAAGGATAATACCAATGTCAATGCAGATGTACAAAAGCTGCAGCAACAGTTGCAGGATATTAAGGAACAGGTAAGGAGCTTGTCATGTTAAACATTAATTCTCAGAATAGCACTTCTGTAAACCAGAGTGTTCACTCTAGTAAGCATGGTGTATAGTAACATATCACTTGTAGTTTTGAATCTTTGTAATGAGTAATATCTGACTAAGAGATTTAATCAGGTAGTTTTACAAAATAGGAAGGACATATGACCTATGAACATTAAAAAGATTTTTCTCGGGCTGGGAAGTTGGCTCAGCGGTGGAGTGCTTGCCTTGCATGCATGAGGCCCTGGGTTCGATTCCTCAGTACCACATAAGCAGAAAAAGCTGGAAGTGGCACTATGGCCCAAGTGGTAGAGTGCTAGTCTTGAGCTGAATTGTTGAGGGACAGTGCCCAGGCCTAGAGTTCAGGCCCCACAACTGACCAAAAAAAAAAAAAAAAGAAAGAAAGATTTTTCTCTCACACTAATGACCAGGAAATAAAATTGATTTTTAAAAATTGTTTTAGGACTAGGAAGGTGGCTTAGTGGTAGAGTGCTTGCCTAACATGCATAAAGCCCTGGGGTTCGATTCCTTAGTACCACATAAACTGAAAAAGCCAGAATGGCACTGTTTCTCAAGTGATAGAGTGCTAGCTTTGAGCAAAAGAAGCTCAGAGACAGCACTGGGGCCCTGAGTTCAAGCCCCGGAACTGGCAAAAAAAAAAAAAAAATTAGTTTTAGCCTGGGCATTGGTGGCTCATCCCTATAATCCTAGCTACTCAAGGGAGCTGAAGATTGCCATTTCAAGCCAGATTTAGCCTTGTGCAAAAAAAGCTTAGGAACAGTGCCCAGACCCTGTATTTAAGCCTTAGGACCAGCACAATAAATGAATGAATAAATGAATGGTTTTAACCAGTGAGGTGCCTTTTCAAATCACCTAGCTTGTGATACTGTATCATAGAACACTGGTGGCTCATTCCTGTAATCTTGGCTTATTTGGAGGCTGAGATTGGGAGGATAGTTCAAGGCCAGCCTGGACAAAAAGATTCTTGAGATTCCTTTTCAATTTATAACTAGGTTTGGTGGAATGTAATTGTTAGTCTAGGTACAATTGAAAATACAAAATAGGTGAATCACTGCTTAGGCACATTCCCAGGCAGGAAGCAAGAGCCTGTCTCAAAAATAACCAGCTCAGTGGTTTGATTAGAAACTTTTTTTTGTGGTTTATATACATCTCTCTCTATGTGATAGTTTATTAGAAGTGTCTATGTGTGTATGTCTGTGTGTGTGTGTACACATAGAAAAGGAAAACTAAATGTAAAATTCAGAATCTTTATTGATGAGATGCAAAGGATTAAGGAGGATTTTTGAAGAGGCCTCAAAAGTGAGATTAGCATTCCATACTTTATCAGTTATATTGTTCTGTATATTTTAAACATTCATCAACAAAAGTAATTCTTAATATCAACTTCATATTTAGCGAGATAAACTGTCTGAATCTTGTAGGTGTATTTGGTAAGTAAGGCAGCATAGCATGGTGATGCATGCTTGAAATCCAGGCTCTTAGACAGGTGCGGGAAACAGGCAAGAGGATTAGGTGTTTGATGTAAGCTTGAGACTCAGAGTAACAATATTTCAACAGAACACCAGCAGCAGCAAAAAGAAAGTAATCTTTTTTGGCCATTCCTTGCCGTTTGGCCCTAATTGATTCAGAGCTCCAGCAATGAAGTGGAGTCTGGGGCTGACAGCCACATCAATATCACCCAGTAGTTGGAGTCTCACTCCTGAGTTTACTGTCTGAAGAAACAATAGATGCGACCAGGTTGACTAATGATTGTTATGGACACTAGTTTAGAAGTGAATGTATGTATCTATTAGGCCTTAAAACATCTCTCTGAAGAAATGAAGGCCTTTTGATTTTAGTTTTTCTATTGAGGGATTTAAAGGTTGTTGAAAACATATTGGCTCATTATAAAAGTTTAAAAATGAAACTGATAACACACACACACACACACACACACACACACACGAAAGTTTTGCTGGTCTGGGGCTTGAACTCAGGGCCTTGGGAGCTGTCTCTGAGCTTTGTGCTCAAGGCTAGCTAGCACTCAGGCACTTGATCCACAGCTCCACTTCTGGTTTTTTAGGGGTAGTTGACTGGAGACAAAGAATCTCTTGGACTTTCCTGTCCTAGCTGGCTTTGAACTATAATCCTCAAATCTCAGCTTCTGAAATAGATTGTTTGATGTGTTTTCTCTGAAAAGCATTTTACCTTTTCAGTCTGGTTCAGAAAGGTACCACATATTTCCTGTCAAACATAGATTCTAAAAAAGAGAGAGACAGATAAAGACAGGAAAAAAAGTAAAGACATGAAGCAGAAGCAAGTACCTGGGACTGTAAGAGTAAGCTACCATGCCTTATCCCTCTTGTATCATTTTTTAAAGTGGGAGTGATAATAGGACTGCTGCTGTATTGTATCCAGCATCTCCACATGCCTGCTACCTCTTCTCATGCATGTGCAGCTGGGTACCTAGAAATGGAGATCTGAATTAACTGGGCCTCTTTAGTGTATAGTATCTATTTTATATAGTACCTTTATACTAATGCTGAAAGAACAACTAATATAATTTATAGGGATGACATTTTGACTATTTTTTTATTTCAACTGTTTAAAAATAAAAACAACAATATAATTTCACTAAAACAGCCATTAAGGAAATTAATGATAGAGTTAATCACATAATGTTTGCAAAATATGCCTCGCCTTTACTATTTCATTATCTTACATTACAGACAATGTGCCCTGTGTGTTTGGATCGTCTGAAGAATATGATTTTCCTTTGTGGCCATGGTACATGCCAGCTCTGTGGAGACCGCATGAGTGAATGTCCTATTTGTCGCAAGGCTATTGAACGAAGAATTCTTTTGTACTAAGAAGCCTAGAGTGTTTTGTTAGCTAAAGTATATGGTCATGAGATCTTAGTAAGCTTTTAAGCTGCTTGAAAGTTGTAATGAATTAACTTGTACTTTCATAATTTCTTTACTCCAGGGTAATTAGACTGTTAAGTATACTAGAACAACAGCCACAAAATGCTGTACCTTACAGTGTTGGAAAATATGAATTTTTTTGTCTTTTAGTTTGAAACATCAAATACATAGTTTATAGATAATTTACTTTGGGCTTCTAGGGGAAACATCCTTGAAGAGAAAACACCCTTTTTGTTTTTATTGCATTTTCTCCTATAATTTACAAATTTGTTAAACTGCAAAAGACCTAGTTCTGTATAACAGGTTATCCCTCGTGTATCACAACTACATCATGAAATGACACTGGTAATTCTGAAAAGTCCTGCTTCAAAAGGAAGGGGCAAATCAGACTATTAGGTCACCTGTATTAGGTGATAAATCCTAAGTACAAATTCTGCATGGCTAAGGAAGAAAGTAATAAACTGTCTGTGTTTAAGACAACAATTACCCAAATGTTACTTTCTGAATTTTTAGCATAAATGGAAGAAGCATGGAGTAAGAAGAAGATGACCTTTGCATTTAGCTTATTTTCTGGATTTAAAAGGATAATTGTTTAACTGAAATCAATACACCAGTTTTAAAATGCTGGCTAGAAATGAGGAGAAAAAACTAGGCAATCATTGTGAAGAACTGAAAGGGGTGAACAATGAGAGAATATCTATAACTTATTACCAATTGAATTCCTTATATTAATTGATAATGTTTAGTTCAGCTAGCCTTTTTTAAAAAACGATCTGTGAGAAGTATACTTCAATTTTTCTTGTAATGACTTACCTGGGCTTGATCTAATCAGTGCATTACTTTGGCCTTAGTTAGGCCTCGGAAGGTCTCTTCAGTTCAGATGATGTATTGTCAATAATCTTTTCTCTGAACCCGGTAATTCTGACAGTGTTGCTTCATCAGAGGCCTTACTCTCAAAAAGTAATCCTTACCAGAAAGAATAGTCTTTCTTTTATACTTGCAGATAAAGATATTTGAACTGCCAATAATTTCCAAGATAAAGTTAATATATACTTACTTAGAATGAGTCCCAGAACATTTACAGAAGTAAATCTGATTACCTGTAGAACTTTTTTTTTTCCATGGGGAGCACACTTGGACTCTGAGTAATCTTTTGCATTTAGGGCAAAAATGATGGTATTTCTTGCTGCTAAGATTATAGGAAATGTTAGCTTCTTACAATAGTGTCTACTCTACACTGTGTAGTCCTCTGTGTGTGTGTGTTTGTTTTCTCTTTGAAACCTTTTCTCATGGATTCTCTGCTGTGACAACTGCGTGGGACAGCACAGAGCTCTGGCTCTGTCTTGCTGCGCCACCTGTGCCAGGCCTGGTGAGAGCTTAGCTGGCTGCTTCTGTAGTCAGCAGGGCCATGGACAGATAAGGAAGTGTTAGCATTTTGAATAGTGAGGTTTTTATAAACTTCTCTAGTTATCTTGTAGTAGCCACTAAGGCTACTTTTTGGGGGGTGGGTGGGGGGTTGGTGGTGGGGCTTGAACTCTGGGCTTGGGTGCTGTCCGTCAGCTCTTCAGCTCAAGGGGAGCTCTCTACTGCTTGAGCCACAGCGCCACTTCCAGTTTTCTAGTGGTTTATTAGAGATAAGAGTCTCACGGACATTCCTGCCCGGGCTGGCTTTGAACCGTGATCCTCAGATCTCAGCCTCCTGAGTAGCTAGGATTACAGGCATGAGCCACCAGTGCCCAGCTTAAAGCTACTTTTAAGGTATATTTTGAAGTTTCTTTAAAAAAAAAATCTGACCAGTGATGTTTACAGAAACAGCCTATCTTGTTGGAAGTTTGAAAACAAATCAGGACTCCCTTCTCTTCCATGCCATAGACCATCAGTCTATTGCTTTGTAGTAGCAGACACGTATAGCTTGGTCCACCGGAGGACCTAGTGGGCTCCAGCCATATTTCACTTAAATTGGTTTCATTTGACTTTTGAGCTGCAGTGCTTATATATCCCTAAAAGGCAATACCATTTTCTGACTAGTCTATTTTTTGTATATTAAGAATGGAACTTCCTAGCTTCTATTTTGGAAAGTCATAAAGTCTCTTATAATCATGATGTTAAGTGCTTTGGATTTTCTTGACTGTATTACTCTAAAATTTATTTTATGAATAGAAAATATTTCTCTGTTCAATTTTTCAAGCCCCCAAAGTTATTTTTAATTTATTTTGGGTTTTGAGCAAGAACAAGACTTAAGAATTTAATAGTTTAAGTGACTTTCCTCCAACTCTGAAAGTGCTACCTCTTATGTCTCTTAGCAGTACTTTGCCAAATAGGTGTGTTTTCTCCTTATTATCTAAACCTCTTTATCTTGTGCCTCAAAAGAGTTCTTACCTTTCCTAGAATCATTTGAAAGCATGACATGCATTGATTAGACAATGTATTTATTGGGTTTCAGGGGCTAGATTCATTAACATTGAAACACATCATCTAGCACACTCTGAATTTGTGTGTGTATATTTGACATCATCCATAGACAGGAAATGGGGTTCAGAGGTACCAATAGCATTTCTTCCTAATGTTGCAGAAAAATTGTCATTGACTAAGATTGGATTCCCTCTCTGTACTCCCTTACCCTGCCACATTTTCTCCTTCATTCTAAGACTCATCTTTGTAACCCCAAACACGACTTACCATATGGTGCTATATCCTAATTGTATTTGTTCACATGATTTAACATCATATTATATACACATGTCGTTTTGTTGGGAGCAAGATATCAGGAGAAAATAATTTCATATTAGTAGTGTTAAGAATATAATAGTAGACCAAGGGTTAGTTTAGCACGCTGAATTATGCTTTTAAGGTATTTGTAATTTTAAACATTGTTAATTAACAAACTAATTACTAAAGCCTAAAATGAATTGATAGATAATATTAGAAATGACTTTCTTAAATTTTAATTTGTGATGGCTGTGGCCCAAGAGAACCTTTTCGAATATTGAAATACATGCTGCTTAAGTTTTGTCCAGTTCAGATTTCAAGCTTTCTAGGCCATCTTAATACACCAGAAACATCCTGAATATTTATGCATTGCCTAATTGCTGTTGTTTATTCTGAATTTTGGAACCAGTTGGACTAAAAATTAGTTAAAACTTATGAACTAAGGAAATTATGGGTGATATAGGTTTAGGTCAGCACTTTGGAATTTCAATAAATAGGAAACAAAAGTGTATGAGAATAGAAGAAGAAAGAGAATAATGTAGATGTGATGAAAGCATTAGTGGAGAGAGCAAATCTAATGGACTAATGAAAGGAGTCTGTTGAGTCTGATTTTAGAATAGTTTAATGTTTTTGTAAATTGCAGATTTTAATACAACTTGCTTCTTTTTTAATCCCAAAGGAAAAGCACTTATTCTCTCAGTGTCTGAAATGTTTTACAGTAATAATTTGTGTAAAAACTTAATTTTTTATGTTTATTATGGTAAGAAAACTGCAACATAAAATTTGCCATCCTAATTATTTATACGTATACAATTGAGTAGTCTTAGGTATTTTCATTTTGTTGTAAAAAAAAGTGTCCATAACTTTATTTTGCAAAAGTAAAACACTATACCCCCTGAAGAGCTCTTTTCCCCCTATTGACTAGAAATTTGACAATATATAAATCAAACATTTGAATTACTTGGTAGTTTGTGTTTGCAAGATTGAAAGTCATAGTAAAATGGCAACTTCGTAAAATTTGGGAAGAGACTGCCCCTAAATTTTGTGCGTGTGTGTTGGTAGTGGGGCTTGAACTCAGGGCCTGGGTGTTGTTCCTTTGTTTTTTTGCTCAAGGCTAATGCTCTACCATTTGAACCATAGCTCCACTCCTTATTCTTTTTGGTGGTTAATTGGACACAAGAGCCTCATGGACTTTTCTTGCCAGGCTGGCATCAAACCTTGATCCTCAGATCTTAGCTTCCTGAGTAGTTAGGTGTGAGCCACAGACCTGGTTCCTAATTGTTTTTTAAAATAATAATTAGGTAGTTTTCCCCCCTCTTTTTATTGGCATATTATATTATTGGTACAAAGTGGTTTATTGTGATACTTCCATATATGCTATAATGTACTTTGATTTGGGTAGGTTTTACTTGTCTGTTAATGGAAGTTTTTTTATTTCATTTTGAGCCAAAGGGAAGAAACACATTTTAATGATCAGAATTAGGCTGGCTTTGAATTTGTACTAAGTTGGAAGGTAAAAGATTTTCATAAATCATGTGTGTGCCTTGTTCAAAATGTCAATTGTCATTGTCTCCTTGTCAAAGTTTCAGAATGTTTTTCTCTCAAAACAGCAGCTTGAAATTAAATTAACTTGCTTGAATATTATGATAGGAATGCTTACTGATATTACTTGATAATGATATATATCCTTGGAACTTTAACATACATATACATATATATATATATCCAACTTACATCAGTATTAGTAAATACAGTTGTACTTCTTTAAAACATTAAATTTGAGGAAACTGATGTCTTGTGTATATTGCTTTACTAAAGTGAGGGGCTATTTTTTAGATTGAGCTTCAGTACTGAGAAGGCTAGTGGGGTGAAACTCAGTATAAAGACATGAGTTAGAGGAGCTGATAAATTAAAGTTACAAGTTGCTTTACATTGGCATTTTCTACCTCCTTTTTTGTCAAGAGTATTTAACCTTTTCCAGCATTCATTCTTATTTGTGAGTGAGGGGAAAATGAAAAGCTGTGGTTAAAAAGGTTTTTGTTTTGTTGGGGATTTATAAGCAATAAATACAGGAAAAGTGATTTGTCACATTTTATGTGCCTAAATCTGTAACCGTAAGTTATAATTGACATGTACAAAAGATCTAAGGAAGATAATGTTGCTGAATATTTTAATTTTCCTGTATAATCCTCTTGAGTTATTTCATAAATGTGACTTCTTCCTTCCAAAAAAACCAAAATGGTCTAGTAATTTTTTTTATAAAATAAACAGATGTGCCATTTTGTCTGAGATACTTAGATAATTTCAGGAAGCTATTGAAAGTTCTGACTCAGGGCTTTTTAACAGTTGAATCAATTGCTAAGTATATTTTGCAAACTCTGTCCATATAATTCTTCAGTGCCTTGAAAAAATTAGTAACTTGGCAACACTATTAAAACTTTATAAAAGGCGGTTTTTAGTGCCCATGTGTCATTATATACCATTGATAAGTCCTATTGCTAGTCTGTGGGATGGTGGTGCTGCACGTGTGCTGACTTTGCATAATTCTTTTGTTTTTTTTTAAAAAAATTACTAATGTCCATAAAAAGTTACCAGAAAATGATTCTGTGCTGCCATTATACAACTCATGTTAAATAGCTTCTGGGAAGAGGAGAGAAAACTTAAAAGTCTGCTATTAAGTAAGAAAGGAGGACCAGGTTGGGAAGCACAAATGAAAGGAAAAGACAAACAACAACCTTCCCCCCCCCCCCCGCAAAAGAAAACAACCCAAAAAACAAAGACCAAACCTATCTCTTTGTTCAGGTAATTCAGATTTAAAGAAAAAGTTAAAGGAAATCGCAAATTGCTAATTGCATGTTATTCTTAATGTTTATCTTTTAGACTGATTTCACAAAATTGTTCTGTTAAGTTCACTATGCTTTAGACATTCTACATGCAGGATATTCAAATGATAGAAAGTAGTGTAATTGACTAAGCAGTGTTTTTGCTTTGTATTTTTTTTTCAGTTTTTTTTTGTTTTTGTTTTTAGCCTTCAGTGTCGGACTACATTAAAGGCTTGTTTGTAGATACAGTTTCTTATATGGAAAATGGTTCTTGCCTGTTAGCTTTTGTTAAAAAATGCTTAGTAAAAACTAAGCTTTTAGAAATAAATGCAAACATTTACCATTAATAAAACCTGTGTGGTGTAATTTCATACAATGTTTTCCTCTTGTTTTTGAAAACAATCTTCATAGTAGTATATATATGTATATATAATTTTATATTAAGGCATTTGAAAACAAATCTCAGTGTCTCAAAAAAATCTGTTGTTGGGAAGGAAATTACCAAATCTTTGAGAAACAAGGACTCTTCATCTCCAGTGCGATATAAATAGTAAGCATCCACATGTGGGCAGCTCCGTTGCAGTTGCTACAGTTCAGGAACCTCTTACTTAAGGGCCAAAGAAGTGTTTCCTGATTTAACACTTCTGCATTTTCAGGATTAAGAGGTATTGTGAAGAGAGTCTGAATAGGATCGATAGTTAAAAAGCAATTCAGTCTGGGAGAGTCAACTTTTCTCTATATAAAAAAGACATTCCTCTTTACAACTCAGGTGTATTTCATTTATCATTTTTTAAAGGTAGGCCTTTTACAAAAAGTATTTTATTTTTCTTTAGCACATTGTGACTATCAGCCATTGAACGGTTTGAGGGGTTACCTTATTTTTCAAGTTAATAGGAGCACTTATTTGTGAAGTTGCCTGTTGATGTTCTAATCCTACATCAAAAGATGTGTATCTCAGATGTTTTAGAGAAAAGCCATCTGAAACAATCTTTTGTTTCTTTGG